TCAATCTCGGGAAAGATTTGTATTATTAGAGGGTCACAAATTTCTGCCAATTTCATGCACAAAGTCCCGGCCTTCATGGCCCCGCAGCACCAAAGCCAAGCTCCAGGGCAAAATTCAGGGACCAGGCTCAGCTGCAGTTTCTTTCTTCTCTGTGCCCCTTCTGACCGCGGTGCTGACTCAATCTAGCCAGACCGCCAATGGCCAGCTCTGGAGTTTGTCTGCAATACCGCCCACCTGCGGCACCAAAGATGTGCGCAGTTTTAGCTGTGGTGGATTCAGGGGAGTAACTGCCAGTGATCTGCAGTCCCGATAACCATGGGAAAGAAAAGCACGGTGTCTCCCAATCTGACCCAAACCTTCTCTGTAATCTGCTGGGAGGGGAGGGAATTAGCCTTTCTGGTGCACCAGTGAGATCTCCACCTGTGTGAGAGGAATGGTGTCTATGACCCTCACCTCCTAAATTACTGACAAAATCAGCTGCTGGAGACAGGTCTTTGCCGCTGCCCGCTGGAATATTCTATTGGTCACTGGTAAGATGCTATAATTAATCTCGTTCTTGGCTTGGGGATCTCAGGCTGCTGCCTGTGCCCAGCAGACAGCAACTGCCCCAGAAAGGTTTCCAGTGGTCTCTCTTAGGTGCCCGTTCGTCTTCCGGCAGTAGCTCTTTCCTAAAAAAAAATCTCCCTGTACCTTTCCTCCAATTCTGCTCTTCTGTGTTTGGTGCAGTCTGGATCAGTGAGCTGTTCAGAGCACCAAAAATCTCAATTCAAACTGTTGTACCTAGTTCTTAAAGTTCTTAGATGCCAGAGGGAAAAAACACAGTGCTCACTGGTGAGACTTCATTTTGAATCTTGTAGTTGTGTCTTATGGGGACTGTTGCTGTCTCCCACTCAGTTAGACACAAATTACAGTTGAATAACCATCAAAAAACTAAAACCACATGGACAAAAAAATACACCATCAATCTCGGGAAAGATTTGTATTATTAGAGGGTCACAAATTTCTGCCAATTTCATGCACAAAGTCCCGGCCTTCATGGCCCCGCAGCACCAAAGCCAAGCTCCAGGGCAAAATTCAGGGACCAGGCTCAGCTGCAGTTTCTTTCTTCTCTGTGCCCCTTCTGACCGCGGTGCTGACTCAATCTAGCCAGACCGCCAATGGCCAGCTCTGGAGTTTGTCTGCAATACCGCCCCCAAAAAAGGGAAAAAGAAGAAGAAAAAAACAAGAAAACCTGCAATATCTGGGGATAGGGCACTAAGAGAAAAAAGGTAGAGAAGGAGAATAATGAAGAAAAAAATGGGAAAAATGCAGAAAGTAAAACAAGGAACAGGGTTAACCATGAGAAGAAAGGGGGAAAATAAATTTGCGACCAGGAGCAGGGACAAGAAAAAAAGCTGAAAACTAGGACCTGGGAGGGGAAGAATAAAGAATGATAGTAAAAAGGTCAAAAGCATTAATAACAATAGTAGTTTTAAAACAGACAAATACAAGCAAACTAAAAACCAGAAAAATGAAAGAGAAAGGGAAAAGAAATAAAAAGAAAAAAAATCAGGGGAGGATGGGTCAGGGCATCCAGGCTCCATCTGAGCACACAGACTGGGATGGAGTTCCTGCGTGCCCAGGAGGTGGGTGGGAGTGGGGGATGGCCTCACCTTTGTTCACCAAGCGGGTGTGGGGTATAAGAGTAACAAGGGGAATGTCACACCTTTTTAGTCGTCCAGGTCTGGAGTGTCCTTTGGGTTACTGGCAGGTGGAACCTGTTCTTAAGCCCCTGGAATCTTCGAGATTGCAGTCTCTTTAAATATCCGAAATGGTCAAGCTGCTTGTACACATGCAAAATGACTGTGCCCTCCAGACAGGCAGAAGTCCACAGCTCAGCCCACCTTCCTCTTCGCTGCTGCTTCTCCTTTTATTCCCCAACCACCAGAGCAGTCCTCTGTGCAGTCCCTGGCTGGCAGGGCTGATTTTTAGGTTAATTCTTAGGTCCTACCAGACTCAGCAATCTTCAAGCTGTTGGTGCCATCAGGATCGCTCAGGATCGCTGCCAGACCGCAGCTCCGTCTGTCTCCTTTTTTGGTATTTTCATGCAAATTCTTCTACTAGTTGGGGTTTAGTCCATTTCTATATCCTTCCCTTCAAGTCTCAGGGGTCCAGGACTATCTTCTGTGTCTGTGTTAATTAGATTCACCTTTTCTTTGTTGAAGAGGGTCTTTGCAGACTTTCTGCTTATCCTGCCATCTTACTGGAACTCCCAAAGGGTATTTTAGGGCACTAGTCATGGGGGTCCCTCTAATCTCTATTGGTCCAGTAAGTCTGGCCTTTTTTTTAGGAATTTGAGTTTTGCTTGACATTTTTCTCCCTTTTCATCTGGGGTTTTCTATTGTGTTTCCGGTCAGAATGGTCGATAGTGGTAGCCAGGCACTATTTAGATCTTCTGGTATCAGGTTAGATGAGGCCATGGTTCATGTGGGTTATTAGTCCTGTGGATAATATTAATAAATAAAGGCTTTCCTTTATTTTCTTTTGTTCCAGATGAGTGGACACCAATAATTCTTTACATCTATTTTCTGACCAGCTGAACACTCAAGAGGTAGCCATTGCTTCATGTCACATTATTCTTTAGTGCCAGGCCACTGAAAGAGGTATCTTTGCTTGTTGTCTCACCTCCCAGTGACCTTCTAACTGCTAATAGTGGTCAAGTTTGTTAGTTACTCTTTCTTGAAATTCTCTTTCTGCTTTCCTTCTGTAGTACCATTTTCATTTGTTATTTTTCTCTCCTTCATAGTCCTTTGTTGAATCCTTTTACTGTACTTGTTCTCTGGATGAATGTTGTATTCCCAACATATCTTCTTCCAACCCCTTCATTTTAGTTGCATCTCTTTTCTTTGTGGGGAATACATGTGTGTCATGCTCTTCCCTGTTTACTTATGACTCTCCTAATGCTTTCTGAAGTTTAGCTCTTCTCTCCTGAGTTATTTCCACCCACCTTTATACAGGCAGCATAACTTTCTTTCAGTGCTCCACAGATATTTTCCTCAACAGAATATCCTCAACAGAACCATGACATCTTCCCTTTAATGTGCTTAGCAGTCTCTGTTGTCACTCCTGGCACCTCCATCCCTTTATTTATCTCAGCCAGAGATCTTAACACTGTTGTAGAGGCTTCCCTCATGCTAACTCCCTCATATATTCAGTGATATCCTTTTTCCTACTTCATTTTTTTTTTTTGTCCCTTGCTTATTGAAAATTTTCTTTATGGCACCAAAGGCTTAATAGACCTTAAACCAAAAAACAAACTCACTGCTATCGAGTTGATTCTGGCTTGTAGCGACCCCCATTGAGTTTCCAAGGTGGTAAATCTTTATGGAAGTAGATTGCCCTATCTCCCTTCCATGGAGTGGCTGGTGGGTTTGAGTCACCAGCCTTCTGGTTAGCAGTAAGATGCCTTAGGCACTATACCCCCAGAGCTCCTTTAACAGACTCTGGGAATATTGAAATGGTTTCTCAGCTTGGGTACTCCCCCAGCGAGATACCCTGAACAAGTATTTAGTTGTAAGTGATTTATTTGGAAGGTGGTATAAGGAAATACTGGGAGGGAATAGACCACTGTACACTGGAGGCAGCTTATACTGATTCAGTAGAACTCATTGTGTGCATCTCTTCTTAAATCCATGTTCAGTGAGGTCATGGTGGCAGCTTGAAATTGGCTGTGATGGGAGTATTGTAACATGGGAATTGGCCAATGGTTTGTTGTTAAATATTATTGGAAGTAGGGAGTTGAGACAGGGAAGAACATGAGTTACACTGTGGACAATAAGAGCATAATCCCACTGGGAAGAACTCTGGTAGCCAGTTTAGAATACACACCTCAAAGCCATCCCATTTATGGGGAGAAGGAGCGGGGATGCTTAAATACCAATTCCCATCAGCTATTGATTGAGAGCTACTTCTGTTAGCACAGTAGGATCTAGCAGCCAAAGGAAGCCTTCAGACAGCTAGAGACAGGCTGGTGTGAACTGTGGTAAGGTATGGTGTAGGCGGAACTGAGCAAATGATGACTGATTGGGGCATTGTATATCTAGTATTGGTAACAGCTACATCTTCTCTGCTGTTAATGATGTATGGTTATTATCTCCCCCCCCCCCCAGAGCTTGACCTCATGGACCTCACAGGGGAAGATAGAAAGTGGATGGTAGGGAGGAAGTTAATGCAAGTGAATGACACTCTGGCTTCTGAAGATGCAGGACTCCGGAACAGCAAGAACTGCACTGAGCCAGGTAAGAGTAGTGGCTGCATGCTGGACAGTAACTGCCATCTTCTCTAATTATGGCTGAGCAAGTGCCAGGTGCCATGTTTTCTTTTTCCTTTGAGTTTTAATTCAGAGATACTTAGAGAACATTTAGAACAGGTGTCTATGAAACTCAAAAGTGAGTTCATAAGAGGCTACATAAGGTGTCTGCCTGTATTCTTCTCCTAGTGGGATTGGGGAAAAAATAGTCAAAGTCAATGATTTACTACTGATTCAGAACTAATGTCAAATGTGGAGGCAAGTGGGAAATTGGGCCAGGAATAGGATGGGTGAGAATGTTCTGGTCATCCTCACTTTGATCCGTGGGACTAGAGTAGCCTTGTTTTTATTACAGTAAAAACACAAAGGACTGGATCAGATCCTCATCCATGATGTTGATCTTCTTGGAAGAAATGAATATTTATTTATGTTAGTTGTTGTATTTGATAGTTATTGTGCCTTTCCTCAAAAAATATATGGAAGTTTATTTATCTCCAATTATTATGGAACTGTAAAAGAAAACTCAGAATCACAGGTGACCCAGCTTTACCCTAGCCTTAGGGAAGTAACAAGTACCCTTCTGGATTGATGAGGTTGCTGATATTTTAGATCGGGGATGGCATACTCTTTCTGTAAAATATCATATAGTAAATAATTTAGACTTTGCAGGTTATATACAATCTCTGTAATATGTTCTTTTCTTAAATTTAAAAAAAAAAGGAAAACTGTTCTTAGTTCACATGCCATATACAAATAGGCTGTAGATGGATTTTGCTTGTAGGCTATAGTTTGATAATCCCTGCATTAGACTCTGAAGCTCTTTGGGGACCTTCCTTCCTTGCCTTGTGGCTGGGGTTGGCCTCACATGTGCTTCCTTTAAGGGCCCAGGAGCTCATGACATGTTGAACCTGCACACAAAGGTTCACTTTTAGTGCCACCTTGGAAAACATAAACAACATTCATTGCAGCCCAAAATATCATGGGCCTTTGAGAACAGAAAGTGTTTTGTGAATTGAGTGTATGCTTTTTTTTTGGGGGTGGGGGGGTGGGAATCCTAACAATTAGCTTACCAGAAAAGCTGAAAAGAATTAAAAATAGATATCCCTTCCTTCCAAAAAACTCCAACTACATAATTTATGTTCCGTAAGCTGGAGAACTCAGGTATTGTGGCTGCTATTAAACACTCACAAGGTACATGCTTGCAGCTTATTAAAGCACATGGACAGCTACGTGAGCTAGAAATGAAAAAGAATTTTGAGGGTTTTGAGTCCTCCAGCCTGAGGAGACAAAGCATGTGTGTGTGTGCTGAGGAATGTGGATTCTCGAGGACTTACCAGGAAGTGTGGCAAGGAGAGTGTGGGCCATTTCTGTGCTGAGACGCCTGCTTGGTGATCTGGTCTTGTAGCCAAAAACTTTTCAACAACAGATAGGCTAATAGTGACTGAGATGTTAAAAGGCAGAGGATATAGTGTCACAGGGTACAGCATCCTCTTTGGTATGGGGAAGAATGGAGACCGACAGGAATGATAGCCCCCAGGGTATTGGGCTCAGCTGCTTGCAGGGCTGGTAGATATGAGGCTCCCTTGTCTATTGGGATGTTTTTATGGGGAGATGGTGCAGTCTTGCTGCAAGTGGCATTGCTCACTCTACTAAGAAATGCCTTTCTGAGAGTGAGAAATATAGAAAAATAAAGCACATTAAAGGCTCTTGCCAAGAGAGGAAATGATTCCACTTTGTAGGTAGAAAAGAAAATGGTCAGGTTTATAAAAAGAGCACAAACCCAGTGTCTGCTAATGGTGGCAGAGAGGGTATGGGGAAAGGAAGGAGAAGAAAGGCTTCAGGAGAAAAATGGTAAAGAGGGAAAGAGAGCCTAGCCATAGTGTATTTAGTAGGTCTCAAAAGACTATGGAACCAGAGGGACATTCTCCACTTCCTCATCTACATACTTAAGGGAATAGGCTAGATATTTGGGGTCCTGCCTGGACTGAACTAAATTTTGTAGGGAAAATGATCATACCTGAGACAGGAGGGATACAATTAAAATCCAAACACATCAAGGACTGGCTCTGCCTGCATTCTTCACAAAGTCTTCACAGTGACCCTTCTGTTTTCTGAATGTTTGTGATACAAAATGTCTTTAATGGTGTGTAGTAAATTGCTTGATGTGGCCCTTCTAGCCATTGTCCTCCATTTTGTGATGTATTGTAAATCCTATTATCCATGCCTATTTATGGTGGTGTCGTAGTTAAGGTCAGGTGTCAACTTGGCTGCGCAGCTGGTAGTAGTCATTCCCTATAATGACTTGCAGTCAGCTCTGTGGTGGGATTTGCCATGAGCAACTGAGTAGCTGCTGATTGTTGAAGCCATCCACTTGGATTATTGCTGTTGGAACAGTACAAGTGGGATATATCTTGAGTCCTGCCTTGCTGGAGGTTATAACTCAAATCATCACCCTTAGCTTCTTTGAGGGTATACCTATGAATTCTCTGGGAAGGTCCACCCTCCTCTTGCTGCAGTTCTGCATGTTGGCCCATCGTCATCTCACGCCTGGATTTGGAACACAGCCATCATCTGATCAGCTGATTGAGGTTCTTCAAACTCTGAGAATGGGAGGCTCCTCCAGACCTACTTACAGACCTGGGACTTGCCAGCCTGCCAGCTTCCACCACCACTAGGTGAGATGATTCACTGGCTGTCTGTAAGTTCTGTGAGGCATTACAGTGAAATACAGAACCCTAAGACAGGAGATTACTGAGAGAGGGAGGAGTTAATGTCTGAAATGATAGAGTAGTATGGTAGTTTGGACATTTGGGACATCTTTAACCTCCACCTCATGGGGATTGGCCTTGTGCTGATCTTTTTAAGAGAAATGTTCAAACACTGTATTATCCAATATGGACTTTCAATAACTGTTTTAATTCAAATTAAATAAAATAAAAAAAATCCAGACTTTCAGTTGTACTAAGCCACATTTCACTGGCTATGATGTTAGGCAGAACAGATGACAGAACATTTCCATCATCTTGGAAAATTCTCTTGGGCAGACTGGTGGTCTATAACTTCCAGCTGTCACTGGGCATATCTCCTCTCTTTCTAATTCAATTTCAAATGTCTCAAGACTTAGAATAGATACGTAACTCTTCATAGCCCCATCCCCCAGCCCAAGCCATAAGGTCACCATCACCTTGTTTGAATGCCAGCTGTGGGCCTGAGCTTGGGCTTGAGTCACCCTCTCTGGGCCAGTGCCTCTCTTGTGAGATTTAGATAAATCATTCTGACCTCTTTTTATGGTTACCTACTGCCACTCTGTCAAGAATATACCACAAATGGGATGGTCTTAACAAACAGAAGTTTATTCTTATAATTTGGAGGCTTTAAGTCCAAGTTCAAAGTGCTAGGCTCTAGGGGCTGGGTGAAAGCCCCTCAACCCTGGGGTCCAACTCTGCCTCCTGCTCCAAGCCCACTGGAGCTAGAAGCGTTTCTTCACTCAGATAGCTGCTGGCTGCTGAGGCTGAGAAGCCCCAAGGTTGACAAGTAAAAAGGCACAGTCCCGATGTTACCAAACCACACAGCAGGCCATTAACTTAAGTCCATTGTAAGTCCCAAGGTCGGCAGAGCACAGAAGGCTGCATGCAGGGTCCAAGCATGCCAAAGGCTAGAGACCATTCCCAAGTCTTCTCCTTATATACAGGAAGCAGACCATATCCCAAAGGCAGCTACTCAGCTGCTTGTAGTAGATCCCACTATGGAGTTGATTGCCAGTCTCATCATGGAAAATAACTACTACCAGCTGCCCATCCACTCAACCAGGCCCAGCCAAGTTGACACAAAAACATAACCACCACACCTCTCTAGGATGTTTTGAGAAGTGGTAATGAATTAATAAAGTGATCACAGCTTAATGCCTGCATATGATAGACTCACAGACCCCTAAACTAGGAACTCATTTTGGATTCCCCACCATATGCTGGGGGATGCCCATTATGCTTATAAAGTTGGGTTATAGTGCAAGGTTCCTCAGGTGGTTTTCTCCAGGCCTTCCCTACAGAAAGGGCAGATATGGCACATGTGGCTCAGCCAACAGGCCACATCACAAATGATCCAAGTGAGAGTGGCCGACTAGCTGGACAGTGAGGTTCAAGCATCATCATCTAACACAGACATGCGTTGAAGACCTTACACATGGAAGTACAGACTCCTCTGCTGAATAGTCCATTTCAAAAAAGACCGTAATGGAAAAATTGGCTCAGATGCACATGACCCCAGTCACCTCATGCTGTTGGAAATGTGCTCCTCAGTCTGACTAAACAGATATTTTAGAGAAAAGTTGAGAGTCAAAGCATTCATAACTCACTGATTAGCATAAACTTTTAATGTTGTTTTTGTTGAGTCCCTTCCAACTCATAGTGACCCTGTGTACAACAGAACGAAACACTGCCTGGTCCTGCGCCGTCCTCACAGTCGTTGCTATATTTGAGCCCACCTTGGAACCACTGTGTCAGTCCGTCATAGAGGATTTTCTTGTTTTTCACTGGCTTTACCAAGCACGATGATCTGTTTCAGGGACTGGACCCTCCTGATGACATGGCTATATTTCTTCCAAGACAGATTTTTTCATTTTTCTGGCAGTCCATGGTATATTTAATGAACAGAAATTTATTTTCTCAGAGTTTGGAGCCTAGAAGTTTGAATTTAGAGCACCAACTCAAAGGGAAAGAGTTTTCTCTCTGTTGTCTCTGGAGGAAGGTCCTTGTCTCTTCAACTTCTGCTTCCTGGTCCTTTGGAGATCTCCGTGTATCTGCATCTGTGTTATGCTGTCTCTCCTCTGCTTCCTTGTTTAATCTCTTTCTTTCTCTTTTTTTTTTTTTCACATTCACCAACATAACAGCTTCCACATTTATAGCTCAGGGACATTGATGACATTTTTTCATGTTGTGCCACCATTATTGCTATCCTTTTCCAAAATATTCCACTACCATTAGCATAAAC